TGAAATCCTTGTGCTTATGTTCTTACAACTCCTCCTTAGCTTCCTTAGGTCGAAAGTATGCCAAAAGTCCAGAAAAAATATTTTTTCATGTATTTATACCAAGTAGGATCGGGCTCGGATGAAACCCCCCTTTCCTAGCCGAAATAGGAGAATAGCTCTGGGAAAAAATGCACAGGCGCGCCGCGTGGGGCGACGCGCCATGCAGGGTGCTAATGCAGTTTATCAAAGATCAAGAAAAGTTGTTAGGCAGTAGAAATGTACCATCACGTCGACCCACCGCCTCCCACGCACCGTGGTAGTACAATTTCTTTAGAGCACGACTTAAATCCTGATTTTTAATGTCCAGACTTGGTCCTCGACCCCCGAATACAATTCCAGCTTAATTCCTTGGGCTTTTACTGAGACTTCAAAGCTTCAAATAGCTCAAATTAGCTCCACAACATCAACATAGCTCGGAATCACTCCTACAAGGCATAAAACACGCAATAAGTACAAAACACTACCAATTAAAGCTCAAACACAAGTAAAGTAAAGTGAATTACAGTGTAATAAACTACTAAAATACGGGATTATAGCCTACCATCAACATCCCACACTTAAAGCATTGCTCATCCTCGAGCAAACAAACTACACTTTATATAAACACGATTTTTTTTAAAAAAAATAACTCTCCTAACTCATCACATCAAGAATATTTAAAATAGATTAAGCACTCCAACGTAACATCCTTGCCTCAAGATTTGACTCAAAAACACCACGTATTTTTCAAAACCTGCTCACTTACTCTAACATAGAGGTCAACGACATTACCTTTTCTTCATGAATCAAGTTCCCTCACATAATAATAGAGAGTAGTTCCACACATAATAAAATTCAAGAACAATTAGAAACTCAAGATAGAAAGAATTCACTCACTCTCAGAAGTAACATTCCTATGTCAGAATAGACGTACCATAGGCTTGCCCGTAGTGTACTACTCTACTAATTGAGCTCATTCAGTCCAGGATCAAGTAAGACTTTATTTGGTTGTAATGTAGGCTGCGGGATGGGTAGGATACATTTGGATATAGTGACTACACCTTCCTAAGCATTTAATACATACAATTAACCATTCAAAACCCCACGCTTATGTCAAACCATAATTTCACATTCACATCAATATACGTCAACTCCCAACTTCTTTAAGCATAAATACATCAAAAGTTACCACTATCAAGGAATATTTTCGCAATAATACAACTAGTTTTTCTTTTCTTTTTCAATTCAAGTGGCTCTTAATTTTTCAAAACAATGCACCTTTCTCCTATTTCAATAGTTCCACACAAAATCCTAACCAACCGCCCACACTTTACTTTTACAAAGTTCAAAATAAATTCAAGTGCTCAAGAGAGGTAAAAAGTTAAAATAGATGTTCAATCCAAACAAATGGGTAAGGTTTGAAACGTGGTTACCAAAGAAATAAGATTACAGGCTTAAAGGGGTTAACTGCAATACATAACAATTGTGTGGGTAAAAGCATATAATTGGGTCAACAAAGAAACGCCTATATTACTTTCAAGACTAAATAAAACTACTATCCGCTTTGTAAATACACGGGACAAGTTCTAGACATCAAAAGCAATGCATAAAATAATATAAAACCTCACACACACCTGTCACATAACTCACTCAGGATCGGACTCATCAAGACACTCTAGTGAAAGCATTTACGCAAAGTTAAGAACATACCATTTAAGGTATTTATGCACGAGTCATAAATTGAGCCTAAACGTCACAACTAAAACACTCACTATTCTCAAGGTATAATAAAGTCAAGAGATATTGCCTTCATTTCAAATCATAGCACAAGACTTTCTACTCCTACAAAAAATTCTAAAAATAATAACTACACCCAGTTCAACAAAACCATTGGAAAAGAATCGCGGCACAAAGAAAAACCAAGGGCGAATTGTTGCACGACCTAGGAAAACAAAATATTTTTCTTCGACTTTAATCCCTCAAGAAGACAGTCGAGGAAATCTATCGTTGGGAAAATTCAAAAAAATTTCAATCAAAAGAAACGATACTATTAAAAACGCACATATACATATATACATTCCCTATCCCACACTTTAAATTATGGCATGTCCCCATGACACACAAATAAAAAGTAAGAGGTAAAGGAAACTTCCTTGATTCATCTAGTGGGGATCTGATTCGAAGTCGGAATCTCCTTTGCACGCCTAACCCAATGCACATATCCATGCTGAGATCTTCTTTTCCACCTTGTTAGGGTATACCCCACACTTATCAGCTTCACTTTTTCCGAATTGCTCTTTAAGGGCATCCCTTTCTCCTTCAATTTTGAAGATCACCTTTGCATCCCCCACTCTGAGCATGAGCTGCCTTTCCTGAATATTTATAATTGCTCTGCCCATAGCCAAGAATGGTCTTCCTAAAATTAGAGGGACCTCTATATTCTCTTCCATGTTAAGCACAGTGAAATCCACATGGAACACAAATTTGTCTACCCGAACCAACACATCTTCAACAATTCTTTCAGGTAAGATGCTGGTCTGATCCGCCAACTGCAATGACACAATTATCGACCTTATTTCTCCAATCTCACCCTCCAATTTTCTGTAAATAGACAAAGACATAAGATTAATAGTGTCACAACCAAAAACCTGATTATTCGTGATGGCACCTAACCTAACCCGCTAGGTAAGCCGATTAACAACTATCCATTTTAATGAGATTCATTAAGAAGAGAAATGATAATGCAATTGAACTATTATACGAAGAATTCCCAAAGATTGGTAGTACAAATCATGAGCTTCTAAGATTTAGAGTTAACAAAGCTGATATGAAGTAAATACATCACCTGCTTGAAATATATATGAACAGATTAAAATTCTAAAGCTACCAAGGACAAAAGGCAGCTATAACCGGAACGCAGGTACATCTTCAAATATAGCTCCCGCCATACCCAGCAACATCAACATCCAATATTTGCACGCAAGGTGCAGAAGTGTAGTATGAGTACAACCGATCCCATGTACTCAATAAATAACAAACCTAACCTTAGGTTGAAGTAGTGACGAGCTGGGACAAAGAACATAGTCCAACTCTAATAACCAGTAATAGTTCACATTAATATAAATAAGATGGTACAAGAAATAACTCAAAGATATGATGCTCAACTCGTTCACAGTTACTGCAAATACACATGTTTTCCAAGTATAACAATAAATCCCAATCTTTCACCGAAAAAACAAAAAATATGAGTAAGTTTGAAAACTGTGATTCTCTCAAAAGCAACGAATATTTTTTTTACAAATACAAAGAAAACACCATTCACCTTCATAGCAGCAAGTTCAAAGTTCAAATTGCAGGTCAGTCATCCTTTTTGTTCCTCTATGTAGAAAATTTTATTTTTTTCGACTCAAATTACTTGTGCTTCAAAGTAGCGTATAATAGATTGTTTTGACTAGTTTTTTGTGGGGATGAAGCAAATCTACATATATATTTTTCACATATTTATTGTTTTCTTCAAATTTTATTGAATTTTACATATTTATAAATATTTACTGTAATTATATTATTTTATAAAATATTAAAATTAAATATCTATGGGGCTTACACCTCGCTGAGGCATATGTAAAACGCATCGCCTTACACCCACGTCTTTTAATACACTTCTCGGAATCACTCCTACAAGGCATAAAACACACAATAAGTGCAAAACACCATCAATTAAAGCTCAAACACAAGTAAAGTGCAATAAATTAGAGTGTAATAAGCGACTAAAATACGGGATTAAGACTACCATTACAAGTGTTAGTGTGTCTCTTGTGTTTGCCTCTTCGTGAGGTTGTTCTCTCGATTTTTTGTACTCTCTTTTAGATAGTGAATTGCTTATCTCCGCCATGGACGTAGGTCAATTGGTCGAACCACGTTAAGTCTCTTTTAGTATATTTCTCTTTTGTTATTTGATTTATCGTTGTTCAAGGTTTTCTTTGGTAGTTTCGGCATGACACCTAATTTTTCGATCCTAACTATTTAGTGTTTACACTTGATTTTGATTTAATTTTGTTCAAAAAAACATTTGAAGTTGTACGTTCGAACTTTTACGCGACAAACTATTTACATCCGATAGCTGTAAAAATGTATAATTTTTGTGTGTATATATTTTTTTCGATACTTGTATAATTTTTACCGGCTATTATTTTCAGAGCAACTATACAATATCATTTTCCCTATATTTTTAGGTCCAAATGCCGATTGATTTTGTTTTTTCCAAGTCGAACATACCTACTATGCTAATAGTAACAAGTATTTTCATGATAGTCGTACAGTAGCAATATAAGTAGGCGTTTGGATATGAATTTCACTTTTTTTTAATTTGAAATTTTACTAAAATTTGAATTGAAGATAAAGTTGTGTTTTGCTATAATTTGTAACATATTTGGATGTCTTTTTTTCAACATTTTTTGCTACTAAAAATTAGCAACCTTCCCATTTTCAATTGAAAAACTGGTGAGTCAAATTTAAAAATGTATTTTCAAGTGAGATTGGAAAAATTGTAAGATTTTAATAACCAAACAGTATTTTAACAAAAAAAAAAAAAATTAAAAACAAAAATTTTCTTATGTCCAAATGGGCTCTCTAAGTTTGTGGCTTTAGCAATAATGAATTTGCAAACTGATAGTGATGGTAATTGTGCAGTCTATACTCTATATATGAGACATGAAAGTTAATTTTTGTATTACAAAAAAGTAAACCAATAAAGTTAAATTTAGTCAAGTCAAGTAAACATAAAGGGCAAACAGAAAGTCAGTCGAGGAAACGCAGCAAGCCATTAGCTTTATGTGAAACTATTTAGTCAGAACTCAGAAGTCTAGTCGTGCATCCACCTTCCACGCAAGTTCTTTATTTGAATAGCCAAGAATTCACCTTAATATTACCTATTTAAATTTGCTCAGTTTTCTTCACCCCTCCACATTTCTTACTCACTAACCTTCGCATTTTTACAAACATGGCCACCAATATGATCATCAAGCTCATCTTTCTTTCTCTTTGCATTTTCACAATTTTCATCTCTTCTTCTTCTGCCATTTCCTCATGCAACGGCCCTTGTCAAACCTTGGACGATTGTGACGGCCAACTTATATGCATAAGAGGAAAATGCAACGATGACCCTGATGTTGGTACAAACATTTGTAACAACTCTCCTCCTGATCCCAACAATTGCCAGCCATCTGGTCAAGTCAATTGCCACGGAACTCATCCTATATACCGGTGTTCGCCTCCTGTCACAGGCTCCACCTCCGCCAAACTTACCCTTAACGATTTCAGTGAAGGCGGAGATGGTGGCGGACCATCAAAATGTGATGATCAATATCATGATAATAATGAAAGAATAGTAGCATTGTCTACTGGTTGGTACGCTGGAGGTTCAAGATGTGGAAAAATGATACGTATTAGGGCAAATAATGGGAAGAGTGTAACGGCTAAAGTTGTGGATGGATGTGACTCAACTACTGGTTGTGATGCTGAACATGGTTATCAGAGACCGTGTAAATATAACATAGTGGATGCTTCAGTTGCTGTGTGGAGAGACTTGGGGTTAGATACAGATACGGGTGTAGTTCCTATTACTTGGTCCGTGGCTTAGGATATAGTACAAGTACTTGAATAAACGTGTCATCTTACATGTAACAAGATGGACATTAGAGTGATCAATTAGCTATGACATAATAATCTAAATTATGTGTAATTCCAAGAAAACTTTGGTGATATTAAGCAAAACAATATCCTAGTTTATTATTAATTCTATGAACGAGCTAGCGTTAACAGTGAGCGATAAATCAGAATAATCTAAAAATTAAAGCAAATATGGTCGTAACTCGATCGAGTACTCCCGCAGAAACATGTGCAAATCAGGATCTTTAATTTGAACGAAAAGTTTTCCTAAGTAATTCTTTTTTTTTTTGTTGTGATTGATGAAAATATTTTGTTTTATCGGTCCTTGTCCGGACCTCACTTACACCGTTATATCGAATTTGTTGTTGTTGTTGTTAGTCCCCGTGGAAATATATTGAAGTCAAATCCTACTTATTAGGTTTAACATATTTAAAAAGCCTAAATAACAGGGACAAGATATAGTTTTGCTCTGAGATCTTGTTTTTGTTTTCATATAGTAATACTTTTTCTTTAACATAAAGTATATTACTGTTATTGAAATCTGTATTGCTGTAAAAAATCTGAAAAACAGAAACAAAAAGTTAGTAGAACTAGAACGTCAAAATATATTCTAGAAATAGTATAGTAATTTCAAAATAAATTCTGAAAAATAGTATATGAACAAATTGAGCCCATTGAATACACAGTGTGTCCTTAAGGAAATTATTCCCCTCAAGTACCCGAGGTTTTGGAATATATCCTCCCAGGATAGAACGATTTAACTCACCAGTGTATCGGTACCAAAAGCGCAGATGAACAGCGAACCACTAGAAGGCTGTAAAACACACTGGAATTTTTGTGCAGAAGAAGAAGAAGATTATCAGAAAATTTCGTAAGCAAATGTTCTGGGATTTGAAGGAATATTTATAGCCAATTTGTTTCTGAAAAGGTTTGCAACCTTTTAGAACAACATAGCTGTTGGAGCAGGTTTGACATTGTTTCAGAACAACCATAACTGTTGGAAATATCGCGGAAAAATTAAACGGATTTAAAATAATTCGGGAAAGAAAAAATGGACTAGACCGTACTGGGTCGCGGGTCATGCGTGATTTGAATTTTCGTTAATTAATTTTAATTAATTAATTAAATATTTGAAAAGAATTTTGTCCAAAAAGATTAATCAATCAATCTTTGACCAAATCCAAATCCAAATCCAAATCCAAATCCGAAGCCGAAGACGAAGACGAAGCCAAGCCGAGCGAGCGACGACGACGACGGCGTGGGCCTTGCCTTCTTCTTAGCTCTTTAAGAGCTACAAGATGAGCTTCTCTATATATATACAAAGATTTTCTTTCCTTCTACGAATGAGGGTCAAAGTGCATTAGTAAAGTGAACTCATTCAAAATTCACTTCCCTCCATTTCTTTTCCCACCATTTTCCATTCACACTTCTTTTGTTATTAATAACAAAATTCAAGAATCCCCCACATGAATGGGGAATGGCTATAAACTTAAAGGAATGCACAGACGTGTGTGTGTTTCACATGCAAGAATTAATTGCATCTGGATAAGTAGGTTTCCCTTTGAACTTTCCGTAGTGAACTTATATCGGTTATACTCGATCAATCGGTAGATTTGACATCTTTGAACCATCGAGCTTTGTTGTATACCTAGACAACATAAGTCACACAATCAATCCTTATCCATCTATGGTTCTCATGGTTGTGTTCGTTTCAGCCATGAACACCGCCTGGTTTCATGAGTGCTTAGAGAATGGGCCTTTACTTTCATTCTCCTTGAAGCGGCTTACACTTCACACTTACATAGGTGATTCCTAAACGTGTAATCCTAAAGACACACTGTCTGGTCATATCCCGCCAGATTTAGCAAATTATTAAAAAGCTTTAAGCTTTATTGACTCATCAAAAAGCCTTAATGCTTTACCTCGTTTTTGAACATTGTCTTCATCACGAGAATGAGTTGAGTTAGTTGACAATGTTGAACCGTCATTCATAACTTGTTTGATCTCTTTGAACCTAGCTCTTGGGATCTCTAGTCTACTAAGTAGAGTTACCACCATGATGACTTGTCCTAGGCCTTTAACCCCATTCCCTTTGATGATCTTTCAACTGCCTCTATAGATAGGCCTTTTGTAAGTGGATCCACCACGTAATCTCTTGACTTTATGTAGTAAATTGTGATAACATCACCAGAGAGTAGTTTTCTAATGGTATTGTGTCTCCGTCTAATATGACGAGATTTTCCGTTATACATAACGCTCCCTGCCCTACCTATTGCCGTTTGACTATCACAATGTATACAAATAGGTGCCAAAGGTTTGGGCTAAAATGAAATATCTTCCAAGAAATTTCGGAGCTTGTAGAATGGGCGATGCACGTTTATTTGGATGATTTCCAAGACACTACTCCACCCCCAATTATGAAAAAATATCCACTCATGGCTTTAACTTCAGATTATCTGGTGATCCAATTTGCATCACTATATCCCTCGATCACGTAAGTATATTTGTTATAATGCAAAGCATAATTTTGAGTATGTTTCAGATATCCCAAAACTCGTTTCATTGCCATCCAATGTATTTGATTGGGATTACTTATAAACCGACTCAGTTTGCTAATAGCACATGCTATATTTGGTCGCATACAATTCATGATATACATCAAACTTCCCAATACTCTTGCATAGTCCAGTTGTGAGTCACTTTCACCTTCATTCTTTTGAAGTGCATAACTCACGTCAATTGGAGTCTTGGCAATTTTAAAATCCAAATACTTGAACTTGTCAAGTACCTTTTCAATGTAGTGAGACTGTGATAATGCTAGACCTTGTGGAGTCTTGTGAATTCTGATTCCTAAGATCACATCAGCAACTCCTAAGTCTTTCATGTCGAATTTGCTAGCCAACATGCATTTTGTAGCATTTATATCTGTCATATTTTTGCTCATTATCAACATGTCATCAACATATAAACAAACAATGACTTCATGACCTGGAGTGTTTTTAATGTAAACACATTTGTCACACTCGTTGATTTTAAATCTATTTGCCAACATTGTTTGGTCAAATTTTGCATGTCATTATTTGGGTGCTTGTTTAAGTCCATAAAGCGATTTAACAAGTTTGCACACTTTCTTTTCTTTACCAGGAACCACAAAACCCTCAGGCTGTTCCATGTAAATCTCTTCCTCCAATTCTCCATTTAAGAAAGCTGTTTTAACATCCATTTGATGGATTTCAAGACCATACACAACTGCTAGTGCCACTAACACCCTAATAGATGTTATCCTTGTTACTGGAGAATAAGTGTCAAAATAATCAAGACCTTCCTTTTGTCTATAACCTTTGACAACAAGTCTTGCCTTATATTTGTCAATAGTACCATCAACTTTAATTTTTCGTTTAAAGATCCATTTCGAACCTAAAAGCTTATTTCCCGGAGGAAGATCAACCAATTCCCATGTATGGTTATCCAAAATTGATTGAATCTCACTATTGACTGCCTCTTTCCAAAACACTGAATTAGAAGACGATATAGTTGCTTTAAAAGTTTGAGGCTCATTTTCAAGCAAAAATGTCATAAAATCTGGTCCAAAGGAAGTAGATGTTCTTTGACGTTTACCACGCCTTGGATCTTCTATACATGGAGTATTTTCCTTTGGTTCTTCCCGAGGTCATTTAGGTCTTTCACTTAACGACTCACATTCAGTTTTATACGGATAAATGCTTTCAAAGAATTTAGCATTATCCGATTCCATTACCATATTAACATAAATCTCGGGATTATAGGAACTTGTACCTTTGCTTGACACCCCCACACTTTGAAATATTTCAAGTTGAGTTTTCTTCCTTTCCATTTTTCATATGGAATAAATTGAGTTTTGCTGTGGGGTACTCTGTTGAGTATTCGGTTAGATGTAAGGATAACTTCTCCCCACAAACTCTGCGGTAATCCGGAACTTATTAATAAAGAATTCATCATTTCTTTTAATGTCCGATTTTTCCTTTCCGCAATTCTGTTGGATTGAGGTGTGTAAGGTGCAGTAGTTTGATGGATAATTCCATATTCCGAACATATTTCTACAAACAGAGATTTATATTCTCCACCTCTATCACTTCTAATTATTTTAATCTTTTTATTCAATTAATTTTCTACCTCATTCTTGTATTGCTTACATGCTTCAATTGCTTCATCCTTACTATTAAGCAAATAAACATAACAATAACGAGTGTAATCGTCAATAAACGTAATAAAATACTTTTTTCCACTTCGAGATGGTGTCGAGTTCATATGGCAAATGTCAGTATGAATTAAGTCTAACGGATTTGAATTCCTTTCAACAGACTTATAAGGATGTTTAATAAACTTAGATTCAACGCATATTTGACATTTCGATTTATTACACTCAAATTTAGGCAATACTTCTAAATTAATTAACTTCTGCAAGGTTTTATAATTGACATGTCCTAAACGAATATGCCATAAATCATTTGACTCCAATAAATAAGAAGAAGTTGAAATTTTATTCATACTGTCAACAACTATTACATTGAGTTTGAAAAAAGCCCTTCGTGAGGTAACCTTTTCCAACATACATTTCATTCTTACTTACAACAACTTTATCAGAAACAAATACACATTTGAATCCATTCTTTACAAGTAAAGAAGTAGAAACTAAATTCTTCCTAATAGTAGGAACATGAAGAACGTTGTTGAGCGTTAACACCTTGTCGGAAGTCATCTTCAGGAATATCTTCCCATAACCTTCAATCTTGGCTGTTGCATTATTTCCCATGGAAATCTCTTCTCCGGGAGCAGCAGTAGAGTAAGTCGCAACTGCTTTTTTGACAGCACAAACATGTCGAGTGGCTCCAGAGTCAATCCAACACTCCTTCGAATTTCCAACTAGGTTGCATTCCGAAAGAATTGCACAAAGATCATCAATGTCATCATTCTTCTCCACTATGTTGGCTTGTCCATTCTTCTTATCCTTTTTTGGGCGACGACAATCAGGGCTTTTGTGACCAACTTTTCCACAATTGTAGCAGTTGCCCTTGAATTTCTTTTTGTTCTGCTCCTTAGTCTGTCCAGAAGATCTCTTCCTCTTCTTACTTTTTGTCACG